TGGGGGTCTTTTGCATTTTTCTTTCAGTGCAAAATGTATTATGTCAGCAGAGTTAATGCCATGGTTCTGTTCATAAGTCTTTTTACTTAAACGGTAAGTTGTCAACATTGTAGCAACTGACAGTTTTCTTTCCAAATAATTGCCAACAAAAAGTATTTCGTCTGCACTTTTCTCGACTTCCGCACGATAGGTTTTGACAGAAATTTTTGCGAACTTTCTCAAATACACAAACATTGCACTACGAGGTAGCCATATTTGAATGTCAAGGTCCTGAAAGCTTCTCAGCCTAACTAAAACATCTACCCAAATATTAGAATTGTTTTAAATCCTTTCTTTTTTTAAGTCAAGGAATTTTCAGTACCTCTTGTATATTAATAACAAAGTATTCTTTCTTTATGAGCCTTGTTTCCTCGGAACGTGAGAGACCATGGATATCTGCAACTTTTATTCTTTTATCTTTTATTCTGTAGTATTTGTCTACTTGCTACTTCCTCCCAATCCTTGTTCTTCCGTCCATTTACCTGAGCTTATTGAATAGGTTACTCGCTGTTTCCGTCTGCTCCTCTTGCACCTTGAATATCCTTTTAGCTTCCATTTTCCTTAAAACTTCCTTATTGGTGACATGTTCAGTTCATGGTATTCTCAGCAACCTTCTGTAGAGCCATATATCTCTGTTGCCACAAGGCTCCTCCTCATATGTGAGAAAACTTTTCACTATCCACTGCCGTGAAGAAGGATTGATATTACAGCACTCTTTTCTTTGTTTCTAAGGAAATGTTCTTTTTTTTTTTTGTCTAGCTTTTAGAATGCGTCATTCACCCTTCTAAAGCACCATCGGATTCCTGTGTCACATTTTCCATATTCTTTTGAAATTCCCAGATAATTACATTTCTGTACTTGTTTGATTTTGATCTCTCCGTTTGTGTATCTGTTTATTTATCTTTCTTTAAACGAATGCCTTGAAAAATAACAGCAACAAAAGTTGTTTTTTTAATGTAATCTATATATTACTTAGATTCTGGAAATTAACATTAGGCTTTATCATTTTGGGTTTTTGTGAGAAACGTTTGTTGCTTCTTTCGTCTGCGAAATGATGGATTCCTTCATAAGAAACGACTGCCTTGTCCGCTTAATGACCGTTCATTCTACATAAGTCAGTTCTGTAGTTTGCCAGTTTGGTGCAAGCGGACACTTTATTATCCTACCATTCGTAGCAAAAACAAGTTTTACTTTGCCGGCATTACAACATTATAGACCATTTCCTGTGAGTAATTTGAAAGGACACACGGTAAAATATTAACAATATATGATTGTTTGAATTGATGAGGCTAGCCGTCGTCGTCTGCATTAAAAGAGCTTTTAACATTGTCGTTAATATTTACTGCCCTTTCTCATATATATGGACATCATCTCAATCTCGGAAGCGTACAAACGAATAATGCCAACTATAATAAACGATTAAGGATTTTGTTATTGGACATCGAAATTGGGTGAAAAATATTAGACTTTATCGTCTTAGTTGATTTAATTAATCGTTTTTAATCCACACGGAGAAATATATCTGCAATCATAACAGGAAAACATTAATTCTTCAATAATGTTTTTAGCACAAAATCATAGTCGTATTCGTAAAGATTTATTTCTTGAAGTTCTAAAACCTTCAATCTCCTTTCCATACAAACTGAAATATCACTTGTATGCTTTTATAATAAGATTCCAAATAGTTATGAATACCTGGCAGAAGTGTGAGAGTATTACTCAAAATTAGAAGTCGGAAGATTTAAATCAAATGAAGAATTTATAGTGAATATTATTTTTCACACTATAAACCAAAAATATATATATATATATATATATATATATATATATATATATATATATATATATATATATATATATATATATATATATAATTGCTTACCCCGGTCACATTTTCCAGCAATTTCAAGCAGATGAATTTCCTTTTATTTTATTTTAATTGGTATCACCCCATGAACGTAAGTAAAGCCACTAAGACACAAGGGGATACAGGGCGTGTGGAAGAATTAGGAACAGAAACATTAATAATCAGTGGGAAGAGAGAAGAGTAATCAGGAGGACAGCAGATAGCAATTGGTATTGAATTTAAATTTTTGCAGATTAAAGTTGGGCGGAAAGCATTATTAAAACACTGAAACTAAATTTATTTAACTAAAATAAAGTTATGATGATACAACTAACTTTTTAAAATGATTTTGTAATAAAGTCACTAAAATGCAATAAACACAGTAAACCGACTTTCATAGTTGCAGACCTAGCAATGTATTCAATATAATTTTTCCACTTCATGTCAGCGGAAAATATTAACCCGAGAAAGCGCAATGAATCACTGTCCTGGAGGTTAGCATCAGCCATACTGAAGGAAGGGGAAAATGATGGAGTTCTATACTTGTAAATAACTAAAAGTGACCTGATTTGACGTGTTAGAAAAAATGAACTTAAAAATGGCTTCAATGGGCCACATCAAACATTGATTGTTAATGGTTCGCGTACTGGTCTTGAAAAATATCATTATTGACTGATTCTAACTTAGTATCCCAAAATGTCTAATTTTATTCTAGTAAAATCTTTAAATTCTCTCACGTTCATAATCTGTGTGGAGTCAAGTGAAATATAGATTATTTTTTTATTCCATGAATTATTCGCGCAGTTATCCTCATTTTAATTGTTTTATCACAACGTTTCGGGCAGAATGCACTCTGGTTTCCTTCAGATGTTTCTTGAACTTATCCATTTTTAAGGAACTTAAAATACTTATTTTCTTCCCATAAAAGCAACGAAATGGACGCCTTATCCCATTTACCCCGACACGAATGGAGAATGACAAGACCTGGAACGGGCAATGGGAAATAAGAACACATCTACGGGGCTAACAAAAGCTCTTTCCAATATCAATCAGCCAAAGACCAGATCTGGTAATTTGGTGTACCAAGAAGAAAGTTGTTCATCTAGTGAAACTCACAATTCTACACGAGGACAACATTGATGTTGCTCAAATCCAAAAAGAAGAGCGACACTAAAAACTGGTGGAGGAATTTGAAGACGTGGAACGGCAGGTTGAACATTTCCTTGTTGGGGGTTGGCTGTAGAGGATACATAAATATGCGCATCTGCGGAAATGGCCAGTATTCATTGGAATCAAACAGAAAAGAAACAGTAAGAGCAACTCTAAAAGATATCTATGAAGCAAGCGAGGAGGCTAGACATTGGATCAGAATCAAAAGAAATTATGAAAGTTGGCTAGAGATCTCCGAAAGAATGCGAAGTAATCGACAGGCAGTAAACCAGGCGAACCAGATTTGTAAGGCCTCATATCAGCGGGTGGGTGGGGATTTGAGCGACGAGCAGTAAAGTCGGTCGAGAGGCGGGTCCGAAAACGGGGAGCATTCTCTGCTGATGACACCAAGAACCTCTTGATATCCGGTACGCGGATTTATTAGATTGGCAACACTTGCAGTATGAAGGTGTTCTCAAATGTTTGTACCCGTTTTAAGAATGAATTGTGAGTGAGTGAGTGAGTGAGTGAGTGAGTGGAAGTAGGGGGAGAGAGAGAGAGAAAGATCGTACCGACCGAAACTTAATGATTAAAATAACAAAAACGAGGATATTAATTCGAATAACTCGTGAAATAAAAATGAAAAAATTTCCAATATCATAAGTTTTATCTCTAGCCAGCAGCTTACGCAATACTTTGAAATCTTCAAAGAACATTTGATAATCGAATCTCCCACCAAAGCAATTATTTTATCTTAACTCATGTAAAGATGATTGATCCCGAGAAGTCTTTGATGTCTACGATTAATAGATATCTTAATCTTGGTAGAATTTATCCCGTTGCATTGGCCCAAACACTTTATTTAGCAAATACTAATGCTACAAATAAAATTACATTTTAATAGTTCCGGAAAATAATTGATGATTGTAACCTCGCCTTTGCAAACATTCTATTAAACATATATTTCCTCAAAAAGAAAGAAATCTTTTATCTCAAACGCGACAGCATGACCCCGACTAAGCCGTCTTGTCCTTACCATCCATGTGAAAGGTAAACATTAAGTCACGAAGAAGGAAAAGCTCATATTTGTACAGGCAAGAAATGAAAAAAAAAAAAACATTTTGATAACAGTTTAATATAATTATACAAGATATTCTTTTATATATTAATTCCAGCGTGCGCAAGTCCCATGTACGATAGGAAATATTACATGCTTAACTTTGGAAAATAAATCGATAGCACTCAAAAAGATTTTGCTCAAGGTTTCCCAGATTGTTCGTCGGGCGAGTTTTCTAAAAGTATAAATCAAACTTTTTCCAAAGAGAAATGGCAAAATCTTGGTTTTGTGCGGAAACTAACAGAGAAAAATTGTATCAGGTTGCAACAATAAAAAAAAAAAAACGTAAAGAAAGGGGGAAAATTGCTGGCTTACCGCCGACGTTTTGCTGAGAGGTTCTAGGGGCTTAGAGGATGAGAGTTGTGAACAGGCTGGGGGAGTATGTAAAATTTATTGAAAATGCAGAAGAGCAAGATTATATCTCTCTACTCGGAGTCATGTATGTCTCAAGATATATTTGATACCAGAATGTTACAAACCAGTTCATAAATTTTGGACTGATAACAAAATAAAGTCTAACTTAGGTTCTCCTAAAAAAACTATCATGAAAAGATTTTGTTATCAGAATTCTTTCTTAGAAAGTTATCCCATGTCTTTATTATAAGAATATAGAATTTTCAAAGATCTTTCTTTATATATATATATATATATATATATATATATATATATATATATATATATTTATATATTTATATATATATATGCTAATAATACTCTCTTATAATGATAGTACTTAAACCGAATTTGTTAATATCTAACGAAGTTTTTAAAGAAATGTCTATCTATATTTAACTATTCATACCTATCTATCTATCTTGGTGAGTGTGCATATTTACTGCATTTTTATAAATGCATCACTCATGTACAAAGCTTTTTAGAGGAGTATCTATCTATCTATCTATCTATCTATCTATCTATCTATCTATCTATCTATCTATCTATCTATCTCATTCCGTTTATCTATCTATCGATCTATCTATCTATCTCATTCGGTCTATCTATCTATTTTGGTGAGTGTGCATATTTACTGCACGTTTATAAATGCATCACTCATTTACAAAGCTTTTTAGAGGAGTATCTATCTATCTATCTATCTATCTATCTCATTCTATCTATCTATCTATCTCATTCAGTCTATCTATCTATCTTGGTGGGGGTGCATATTTACTGCATGCTTATAAATGCATCACTCATGTACAAAGTTTTTAGAGGAATATCTATCTATCTATCTATCTATCTAGGTGGGTGTGCATATTTACTGCATGTTTATAAATGCTTCATGTACAAAGCAAAATGGCTTTTTACTAATTCCTCTGAGTAATTTCAGTTTCAGTGAATAGAATTATTTCAATGTTGTTTTATTGATATTTTTGAATTAATTAAAAAGATTTACAGAGACTATTCTTAATCTGACGAGTTCGATCCTCCCTATATACCACAATCTTGTGACCTTGTGCCATACTAAATTAAGAATACTCAATATACAGAAAGGTTCGGTTGAACTATTTAAAATATGTCCTGAATTCACGGAAAGCCTCATTTTTAAAATGAAATTCCGACCCGATGATAGAAATCAGTTGAGTAAAAATTGTTCGCGCCAACAGCTGCCTGTAGTTACCTCGATAAATGCGCCTGCACCGAAAACATTACCCGAACATTTCCTTTTTCGGCATTTTCTCCTTCGAGGCAGTTTCAATGCTTAATGCTCGGTATACATCTACAAAGCTTACCCACTACGGGATTTTTTTTTTATTGGTAAGAATGTAAAATGCACCGATCTTTTGTCCTGAATAATTTGCTTCAAGATCAAAATCATAAACTAATTTTTAAATCATATAATCATCAGATAAAGAGAATTATCAGAGAAACAAGTTGTCAGTGTTCGAAAATAATTCTTACTGCTTTTCCATTAAAAGACATCGGATTAAGATGATGCGCTGAAAGCATTTCGCGTCTATAATTATGTAGATAAGAAAATTCTCTTGAGTTCAGATTTTTTTTTTCATTTTGAAAATAGTAATTTTCGATTTCCGTCGTTATTTGAATGAGTTCAAATCTTTAGAAACAAAATATTTAACAAAAGCAGTCATTTTTGGTTTATCTTCTATATTTGCAATATCCCAGACAATATGATATTTATTGAGGAGAATTCTACGCCTACAGCTGTGGCGCAGTTTGGGGATAACTTTTATTATATTTTAAATATTACTCTTTTCATCGTGACACAAATAAATACAGTCAATATCTGTGCTTTTTACTGAAAATACTAAGGTTATAATTAGGAAATTCGATAACTATACCAGTGGATATTGCCTTCGTTGAATAAAATGTTCGTGGGTGTTCAAAATCGCTTTTTATATGCGTTTCCGCGAGAGAAAAATTGAGTGAAAGACAGACTGAGAGACATGCACATTTATAGAGTTATATATAGAATATGTATGAATATTTTAAATATTGAAACATTCTTTCTGTGAAATTTTATATTTGAGATATGTGAGGTTAGCATAATTTAAGCAGACTATTTTAGTTACTGATTTTTTTATTGTTATGTCTGAAAATATTTTTATAAGCTAAAGCAAGTAGAAATTGGAAAATGAAAAATTAAATGCTTCAAATAAAATCTTCCGCCATCTTAATGCATTTGCAAATTGAATCAAACTCTCCTTCTACTGTCTCACGACCAGCCATCAAATATTGTCATGTCTGCAGCGAGGCCATTACACAATGACAGTGGTTAGACGGAACAAGAATAGACTGAAAAAGTGAGTAAAAAAATGGGACATGAACAATTTGATCTATCGTAATTACATGCCTCGATCAGGGTGGTATCAGCTCTAGTCTTCACACACACGATGAACGAACAGCAGTACATTAAAGTTTACTACAAGGCACTTCAACGTGGTGTAATGGTTAACAAGGTTGACTCACTAGATCAATTACGACTGTGTAGTGAGTTCGATCATCACCGTGATCTATACTTTCGGCCTTGTGCCACATCTAAGTGACGCGTAGTAAATTGGTAAACAATTCAACGTAGTGTAACGATTATCAAGCTTGTATCGCTAAATCAGTTACGAATGAGTTGTGAGTTCGATATGAGACATTCTGTTTGAGACACAAACAGAATGTCTCATATCGAGAATATTCCACATTGAACATGAAGAAAAATTAATTATTTTTAATAATATGTAAAAATCTCCACTTTCACCTGAAGACGGTTGCGAGACCAGACCAGAAACACGTGTCGTGAAATTATGTAAAACAAAGTATAATATTTTTTCTCAATAAATCCACATTACAACCAAAAACGTTTGCGGCACCCCTCTTCTTTTTAATATATATATATATATATTCTTTCCAATTTGTGTGTGTGCGTGTGTGTATGCGTGCGCGCCAGTGTATGTGTATGTGTATGCAATGTCCACACATTCATACATGAAAATTCACGATAAACGATTCAAACTTCTTTGACCCCTAGAATTTTATTGAGTTCCTGTCAATTAGTAGACATTTCTCTAGACATTTATCAAATAATACTCTCCACCTGCCCATGGCAGCCCAAACAGTTCCATTGATCTCTGAAAGTTACTATCGCCCTTCACTCCTTTTTCATTCTTACAAACTAATTTCCACGAGATCTTAAATCGAACATGAACCATCCTTGTCTCTTGAGATTTTATCCGTGCTTGCGGTCTCCCGCCAAATGAGTAAATTGATAGCGGTATAAAACGTCGATTTGCCCAAAGTATACAAATCATTGCTAATATCCATCATCAGTTTTTACATTTTCTCTACTTTTTATATTTCCCATTTTCTCTCTTTTTCTGCTGATCCGCTATTTGCCTCTTTGCACTGATCTGGTTGGCAATGTCGACTTGTAGATATAACTTTTTACCTTTTTCTTTAACTAGAAAAGTAATTCTAACGTTAATTGTCGTATTTAAGTGAATACGTATAACGCAATGGCGATAATGTTTAGATCAATTATTAATAGCCTAAATTAAAAACGACAATTTTAATTTTCGATTGAAATGATGTGAAAACGATATATAATTTTTTATATATCAAGAACAATTTTAGGAAAATCTATGACAAAATAAAAAAAATGTTTTCGAGCGACGCGTTTCGTTCTTTAAGACTTCATTGGAGTAAAGTTATGTTTACATTGAATGCGACTACACATGTGCACGAAGGATAGGGGTCACTGAAAATTTTTAATTTATTTTTTTGATATGTGATGTGGGGTCTGGCAAGGCATAACAGAGTTAGCCGTGACAGCTGTGTCGTATCCACTAAAATATCAAATAAAATATTTATAAACTTACAACACTCAATAAAGTGTTTATATCTTAAAACATCCCAATAAAACCATACAATACAAATCAGAAAGGTTGTTTTATTAGTCATCCTGATTTAGTCTGCTACCGCCAAAATATGGTTCGGGCGTAGTAGAAGACATACTACATTTTAGGGCCAATTAGGAAGAAATACATAATATAATTATAGAGCCGATTTTCTTACGAAAAAGTGTATAAAAATCACGAAGTCCGGCCCCCAAAAGAGACGCAAGGGATGTCACCAAGATCCACGTTACTCTAGCTGCTTATCCCTAAGACCCCATTCACGTCCACACACAAAAGCAACAGCGCTAACAAACTACAAAGTGATCACCTCAGATTACGGCACCACAACTCACAGTAAGAATTAAATTCTATCTCTTGTATTCCCGTTACTACTAAGTATGCATACACGTATTGACTGTTTCACACAAACACACATATAACAACATTTCACCGTTATCACATACGTAAGCAATGCAATTTATATTTTTATCCGATAATTCTTTTAATAACTAAGCAAAAAAGACATTACTCATTCAATCCATTCAACCAACTTTTTGTATTCTTGTCGTTATATTAAATTAATGCTTATTTGTTGATACAACGTTGTCTTTTTCTACTGGATTTTATTCTTTCAATGAAAATCGCAGGATTATTCTAAACAGCCAAATTACGAGCAGTCCTGCAACAATATTTTATGTTAATGTATCGAATCCCGACAGCCAGAATTTTGACATTTAACAAAAACCCGAGTAGAAGGATTCCTCCAATAGTATTCAATACTCAGACAAGTCACTATTATTTATATTATCTTCTTCTTTCCTTCTAGATAATTATCTAGAACTACTTATCATGAATGGATGAATCCATTCATGGTAGTAAGAAGAGTAACTTACCACAACAATATGTTTCGGCTATATAGCCTAACCGATTTTATTTTATTTTATTTTTATTTAAGTTAATGTTTTTAACCCTTTTGTTATTAAATACCTCACATTATGTTAATAGAAGATCTTCCAACAAAAGGGAAGTGTTTTGAAAACCTTGTGGTAAATTAAAAAGAAGAAAATTGAATCCAGATTTCACCCTCTACATTAAAATTTCTCGGAATCTATTGCAGATCAAAGACGAACTATGCTCATGCGAGACCTATAACAAATGCTATAAAGGGGTTTCTAAGTAAAAAAACATACACATAAATATCCTAAATCATTTATAGTTTATAAAACAAGGAAGTAATTCACTTTTGCCAACATAATAAACAAAGCCAGAAAAATTGGAGGCAAATTATTCAAAACGTGACATTTCTGTAGATTTAACTGCTCCTATATAATATCACCTAAAATGATGAATAATTAAAGATACAGTACCTCCACCCAACCCGAGATGAAGACATTAACAATTCCAGGACGAAAGATACCGCTTTCACCAAACAGGTTGAAAATATTTCATGTGAAGCCCTTGAAAATGCGGGCCTGTAGCACTTGTGACTTTTACTACAGCAGTTAATCCGTAGAATAATTATTTGATATGAACGAAAGGCAAATCTATATGAACAAATCGTATGAGTAACATCAATGTACTGATTTTTTTTTAATGTTATGTCTTTTCAATATATAGGCGATCACGACTCTCCACAGTTACCTTTTTTATTATCTTTGAATTACCACAGCTTCTTGGGAAAGGTAGTGGAATGGTTTCCTGTTTCCTTCTACACGGTTTGGAATCTATTTTCCCATCTAGTTGCCATCTAAGGCTAGAGATGCTAACTTACTCAGATATTTATATCTTAGCTGCACGGAGAAGATGGGTTCATGACTTTCGTAAGAGTATTTTGACGAAAGGGAAAGCAAGAGATTTGAACTCGGCTCACCGGTGCCATTTGTGGCACCTATATCTGC